GGGAAAGATCAGATAGAAAAAATAAAAAGAAAAAAAAATTAAGTGGACCAGTTCTTCTATTTAGCATGCACACTCTTGTTTTGCAGTAGGGCTGGGGAAGTGACTGGCCAAATAAAACCAAGATCCATTAAGACAACTGCAAATCGTCTCATTCTGTTGGAATGACTTGCTAAATAAAGAGTATCTCCGATGCATCCTCAGTTCTGCAAAGTCTAACACTTACCTTACAACTCGTTCAGGTGGCTTCACTCTAATACCTGAAATCTGAGACTTACAGTGAATCATCTCTCAGTCTTTACAGCAAGAAAAACTGCTCACACTGATGATTATTCAGACAATGTTATGAAAGCAATACCGTCATTGTGACCCAGGTAAGCGTCAGTGCCACAGTTACAGCTCTCTATTTTAGTCTCCACCTAGAGTCTGTGCTCTTCTTCAGTTGATTACAGGATTAAGTACCACCCCATGAGAAGAGAAGCATGGCACTGTGTTTGTCTCGGCAGCATTTCTTCAGTTCCAGGTGAGCAAGTCCTTGAGGCTATGAAGACTCTACACAGTGCCACAGTTTAAACAAAACCAAACATCAACTGGAGAATCCATGCATGAAGGAGGTATTGTATGTAAAGCAAACAAACAAAACAAACACCCCAAACCCAACCTCCTCTCAAAAGAACGATGTCAAAGTGGACCCTATTATGGTGAAGACACGTTTGCTAATGTACTGTTTTGGTAACTCACGTTACACGAATTTGTAGCTTTCGCAGCTTATTGCAGGCTCAGCAGCTTCTAGCGTGCACAGAGTACCCTTCATCCGCATGTCTGGCTCAGTATCTGACCTAATGTCATCTTCAGTGGTCATGTATAACTCAGCCACAGACACTCCAGCCTAAATTTTATGTAGGCAACTAAATATGTCAGCAATGCAGGGATTTAGACAGCAGACAAACAAGATATTTAAGCAAAAGCTGTCTTTTTCTTAATCCTTATTTTTGGGTATTATTAATGCAGAGCTCTTAAGGTTCTTACTCTGAGAAGTTTATAAACTAAATAGGAATCTTTCCAGCATGTAAACAGTGGGTATTAACTCGTCAATATTGGTAAAGTTTAAAGACCATGTGTATTACTGGAATCTATTTGTCCTCTCCTTTTCAGCTTACATGCCCATTCCCTGATAAGCATGGAAAATGCATGTAGCCTTTCAGAGAAACTGCTTGAAATGCAAACTGGTATATGCCAAAAACAGGCCCACTGTATAATTTGGTATTCTGAATGCTATTTTTTGGTCAGTGAGCAAATGCAGTGTTTGAGAAGAACTCTCATGCATACACAGAAAACATCCAACAAAGCAGAAAAAGTCATTTTCACGTCAACAAAACTATTATCTACGAATACAAAAGTATGAAATGCTCAAAGTAGGCTAGCTGTGGCTGAAGAGCTTCTACGTATTTGATGTATCTGTGTGGAAACTAGCCTAAAATTTACGTCAAATGGTAAAATATGGATTTTCAACACACTGTTCAAAACCAAAGAAGACACTATGTTGTTTTCTGATATCTACTTTATAGTAGGCTAAAAACTTGCATTTAAAATCCATAATGTCAGCTGACAACAGCAATCCCAATCACACCAAAATCCAATCTTTATTATGGGAATAAGTAATAAGGCGTAAGGTGGCACGACACTTGCCATGAGATGACTGATCTGCGGAAGCTCACCCAGCCAAGGCTCATGACCACTGTTGGACAGGGCAGGGACGGAATGCTACCTCCTCATGCTGCTCCTCTTTTAACCCTTCAAAATCTTTGTACCTCTTCTTGTCTCTGCAATTTTCCCTTTATCAGATTTTTAGCTCGACTTCGAATTTACTTTTATCAATAACAATAAATCTGAGCAGTCTCCCTGGCAGTGCAGGAAATATGGCACTGCTCTAGGAGGGCTCTATTATGGAAGCCCATAATTGCTGCACTAATCATTTATGAATGGCTCAGAACAGATAATTAATCTTTATGTCTCTCATTTCATGATCAGAAATTATGCTATTTTTACCTAAAATGGCTGCATCCTTTTGCAATTTGGTGGGTCTATTACAGCATAATACTAGGATATTTTCAGCACTGCCATTGAAAAACAATTTGTCATTTGCTTCATGAATCAGGCTCAAAGCCTGGGTTATTTTGAATATAATGACAGACTGAGTAACCTTTTACTTAAGCAGAATTTCATTCTGTGCTATGCACAAGGAATGTGTGTCACATACTCTGTATGAAAAGTCTTTGAATTGCAGAATCAAGAACCTGCGTGTCAGTGTCTCTTCCAATGTTCATTATCCACCCACATGCTCCTGTTTAAGTATTGCGGGAAAGGGGGCCAAATCCGTCACTGATGCAACTGCAATAGCATCAGTGTAGTTCTCTAAATG